AAAAATTATATCCATCAATTTACGTTGCTAAAATGCTTAAGTCAGTAATTAGAACAAAAATATTTGTTGATTTTTTTAAATGTAGGAAAAAATGACTACGTTAAGGTGGGATATTATGAGCCTAGCATTTTTGTTTTGAGGAATTAAGTTTAATAGTGCACTTCTGTTATTCCTAAAATATTTACTTTTCTAGAGGGCATATTCAGTATTCTCTTTTTATGAAGTCATGCCCTTGTAAGTTTATTCTTGAGGTACTCATAAGATTAGGAAAAATGCGGCCGGGCGCAGTGACTTACGCCTGTAATCCCAGCACTTTGAGGAGGCCGAGGCAGGAGGATCTTGAGGTCAGGAGATGAAGACCATCCTGGCTAACATGGTGAAACCCCATCTCTACTAAAAAATACAAAAGATTAGCTAGGTGTGGTTGTGGGTGCCTGTAGTCCCAGCTACTTGGGAGCCTGAGGCAGGAGAATGGCGTGAACATGGGAGGTGGAGCTTGCATTGAGCCGAGATCGTGCCACTGCACTTCAGCCTGGGCAACAGAGCGAGACTATGTCTCAAAAAAAAAAAAAAAAAAAAAAGAAGATTAGGAAAAATGATTCTCTAGGTTGATACTGTTTTGATTTTAAGCATATTTCTGCTCAAAGGGAACAATGTTTTGTACATCTGGAAAATTAGATTTGGTTTGGCTCTGGTATTATACCATTAAAATTTTCAATGCTAATTAAAATTTTTTACATCTTTTCATGCCGTAAGGATTCAGGTGTATTTTCGCAAAATTGAGTGATTTTTCTCTTATCCTGTAAAGAATTGTATTGGAACTATTTTAAAATGCATTATCAATATTTTAAAATGTAATATCGTTATTTCCTATTATAAAAGAAATGACTAGTCATTGCAAAAATAAATGCAAATAGTGTTGCTTTGTCATTGTGTGTTTTTTTTTGTATTTTAATATTTAATAAAGGGAAACTTTCAAATATATACAAAAATAGGGACAATACTATATATAATGAGTCCCCATGTCAGTGTCAGTAATTATCAACTCATGGCCTATCTTGTTTTATTTATATCCTCACTTTGTATCCCCCTTTTTATTCTGACATGAATCTTAGACCTTATGTCATTTCAACTGTAAATATTTCAGTATATGTCCCTCCCTGAAAGATAAATATAATTTCTTGATATGGTGGAATAATTCAGTTAGTGTTCAAATTTACCATACTTGTAATGACTTCTTTTTAAATATAGTTTATTTACATTGAGATCAATTAAGGTTCATGAATTGCTTGGCTAAAATGTCTCTTAAGGCTCTTTTAATCTATAGATGTTCTCTCTCTCACTTGCGATTTATTTTTAAAACTTAAAAAATTTCTGTGGAGTTTTCCACACTCTGGATTTTGCTGATTATATTGTTGAAGTGTCATTTAAAGTTTCTCCAAGTGGTAGTTAGATCTGTAGGCTTGATCATACTCAAGAATACTTGTCCAAGAATGTTTAACAGGTGGTTTGTAAGCTTTTATCAGGGGAGCACATAATTTCTGGTTCTATTTCTATGTGAAGTTAGCAGCCATTGATAGTTATTGCCTAGCTCAAATAATTCATTAGTGGTTACACTAGTCTAATTCTATTGTTTCTTTTATATTTGTTAGCTGGAATACTTACATAAGGATAACCTTCCTTTCATCAACCAGTTGGTAGCCTTGGGGTATAGTTCATATATAGGAGAAACAGGAAAGATACTTGTTTCTTGCCTTTCATTCACCAGTTTGGTGAATAAAAGTTAGTTCAAGGGTGACTAATTAGGCATTTGTTGTGCACTTGCCATTGTTAATTAATGGAAGGTTTTCTTTTAAGCTTTCAATAATATTGGGCTGCCTCATATATTCCTAAGACCAATGCAGATATTTTCTCTGACAGTTCAATAACCAAATGCATTGTTCTAAAGAGCCGTTAGTAGGTTGCTGCAAAAGTAATTGTAAAGCTGCAAATACTTGTGCACCAACCTATATTTGCAATAAAGAACCATCCAGTTCATTCATTCATTCATTCATTCAACAAATATTTACCAAGTATCTTATATGCCAGGCATTATTTTAGACACAGGAGGTAAATATTTAACAAAACAAACAAATATCCCTGATTTCTGGTGTTTTAAGCCCTAGTTGAGGCTAATTATTAAAAAACAACATTTCAAAACTTCTGACCCACTTACATCTCTTTCCTGTCAATTCCCGCAAATACATCACCCCTTCTACCAACTACACAGCTTCTACAACTTAAACATAAAGAAGAAGCTGTCAGAAAATGCCTCTTCTCTAGAGCTTCAGCTGCTATTGGGACGTGGTTCCCTGTCCTTCCTTAAGAGAATCCCCTGTCCCTTCTTACTTTATCTATTGGATTTTGGGAAGATATATTGATTTTTGCTTTAATGAACTAGAATAATATATCTTCAAATCAAAGAAGGCATGTTTTTTCATTTAACAACCTTTCGCCATTATGAAATTATTCTTGCTTTATAAGGGATGTATTTTAATTCCGTAGTTACTGATTATACAAGAAATAATTGCTGCTTGATTACATGTGGTGTATGATGGTCAGACTCAGTATATTATGGTATCAGGTGATTTGCAAATCAAATGATACAGTTTTAGTAAGTTCAGAGAGAATACTAAAATAAAGATACTACCTTTAAAAAGGAGTAACTTTCCAGAGCATAGAGTATTTAGTGTTTTTAAATGATGGATACTGCTCTGTATGTATTTGTTTCAAAACATCTTATTTTATCTTTGCAGGAGCGATTGGTTACATGGGAACAAGTGCCTTTGTCCGAAAAATCTATACTAATGTGAAAATTGACTAGAGACCCAAGAAAACCTGGAACTTCAGATCAATTTCTTTTTCATAGGGGTGGAACTCGCACAGCAAAAACAAACGCAAGAAGAGATTTGGGCTTTAACACATCGGGTACTTTGTGGGTCTCTCTTTCGTCGATGGCTTAAAGTAACATCTATTTCCATTGATCCTAGGTTCTTACTGACTGCTTTCTCCAACTGTTCACAGCAAATGCTTGGATTTTACGCAGTAGGCATTACTACAGTACATGGCTAATCTTCCCAAAAACTAGCTCATTAAAGATGAAATAGACCAGCTCTCTTCAGTGAAGAGGACAAATAGTTTATTTAAAGCATTTGTTCCAATAAAATAAATAGAGGGAAACTTGGATGCTAAAATTACATGAATAGGAATCTTCCTGGCACTTAAGTGTTTCTATGTTACTGAAAAATGATGTTCCAGAAAGATTACTTTTTTCCTCTTATTTTTACTGCCATTGTTGACCTATTGTGGGACATTTTTATATATTGAATCTGGGTTCTTTTTTGACTTTTTTTTTTCCCCCAATCCACTGCATCCTTTTTTTTTTTTTTTTTTTTTTTAAGAGGGAATTAGAAAATATTAAATCCTGCATGTAATATATCTGCTGTCATCTTAGTTGGACCAACTTCCCATTTATTTATCTTAAAACTATACAGTTACATCTTAATTCCATCCAAAGAAGATACAGTTTGAAGACAGAGGTGTACTCTCTACAATGCAATTTACTGTACAGTTAGAAAGCAAAAGTGTTAAATGGAGAAGATACTTGTTTTTATTAAACATTTTGAGATTTAGATAAACTACATTTTAACTGAATGTCTAAAGCGATTATCATTTTTCCCCCCAAGTTAGTCTTACATCTTTTGGGTTTGAGTGAAGGTTTTACATAAGAAATTGTTAAAAACAAGGGGGGTGGGTAATAAATGTATATAACATTAAATAATGTAACGTAGGTATAGATTCCCAAATGCATTTGGATGTACAAATCGACTACAGAGTACTTTTTTCTTATGATGATTGGTGTAGAAATGTGTGATTTGGGTGGCCTTTTACATCTTGCCTACCATTGCATGAAACATTGGGGTTTCTTCAAAATGTGTGTGTCATACTTCTTTTGGGAGGGGGGTTGTTTTCTTTGGTTTATTTTCTGAGACTCCTACAGGAACCAAATTTGTAATTTAGAGACATTTAATTTTGTTAATCCTGTCTGGGACACTTAAGTAACATCTAAAGCATTGTTGCTTTAGAATGTTCAAATAAAATTTCCTGACCAAATTGTTTTGTGGAAATAGATGTGTTTGCAATTTGAAGATAACTTTCTGTTCAAAAGGCAAAATTAATGCCATTTAAAAAAATATAAACTATGCTACTCTCATACAGGGGACCCATACTTTAAAATCTCCAGACTTGCTTATATCTAGATTATCCAGCACAATCATAAAGTGAATGACAAACCCTTTGAATGAAATTGTGGCACAAAATCTGTTCAGGTTGGTGTACCGTGTAAAGTGGAGGGAGATGGGGTAAAAGTGGTTAACATACTATTGGATCAGCAAATAAAAGTTACAGTTTTGTAAGTGAAGTGATTTGAATACATTTTTCTGGAACTATTCATAATATGAAGTTTTCCTAGAACCACTGAGTTTCTAGTTTAATAGTTTGCTATGCAAATGACCACCTAAAACAATACTGTATATTGGTATTTTTAGAAAGACTCAAAACACCTGTATTTAAACCTTAATATGAAAATCGTGATTAATAATTACACAAGATGTTTTCATTTCAAAATATGTATCTATATATTGATGGACTCCACATCCTATATTGTGACATGTAAGTCCTTTAAAAGGTGAAAAGTACGATTTCTTACCTCTTAAGTATGATTGATATGATCCAACATATTTGATTAGAAGCTGTAGGTAAATCTACTCTTCTTAGGCCAAAATGATATATTAAATGTAATTTATTGGTACTTCCATTTTCTCTTCCTTCTTACTTGCCTTTAAGATCTTCTAAAAAAGAAACTAAAAGTTAATATTTAGTTGTTTATATTATGTAACCTTTTAACTATATATAAAATACTTTTTTAGTTTCTTTCTCACTTTTATTCAAAAGTACTTTTAACATACCAGTACGTAGTCTGTCTGATGGGAGTATAAATTGGACAGTAAGCTTTTGTCTTAATAAAATGAAATTTGTTTCTCATGATATGAATCTTACAGGTAAGATGTAGGGTTTATTGAAAATGTGTGGGTTAAATACTTTCAGGTACACCAATTCTTTCTACTAAATTGAGCTTCATTTGAAGTTCTTTGGAATCTGTGGTGAAAAATAATTTTCTAATTTCCAAATACATTAAGAGCATTACAGTGAATATTAATCACCTTTAAAGTCTTTTAGAAAAGGGCTTGTATTGGTTTTTGGCTGCATAGAGGGGCTGAATAAGTGTGTTTGTGTGTGTGTGTGTGTGTGTGTGTGTGTCTTGTTCTTACAGAAGATGTAATTCACAAATAGTTTAGCTCCCTAGCACTAAGTTGTAGAATAGAAAATAGAACATTATTTAAGTTAATTGAAGGGTGAGATTTTCATACCCCCACTAATGCTGTGTATCTGTCTTTCGTTTGTTAACATTATTTGCTTAATTTCTTTCAACTGACACTTTGAATAATACTATCAAAAACTAAGGCTAGACATTCCCCGTGTATCTTTAAGCATGCTTCTCCTGAAATTTAACTACATTAGTAGTTGACATTTGTATACATATATCCTAATACAAGAGTAGGATAAGGTGGAAATGTACTGGCCTGAGGGATGGTGAAGCATTCTTTTAGTATTTTTTATCCTGTTGGGCTCCTAGATTGTACTGGGGTTGCCCATAAATCAAACCCCATACTCTCAGAATTCATCATATTGTAATATCACGAATGGTATGCTTGGGTGTTTTCCATTGAGAGTGGATGGACCTCTTTATAAAGTTGGTTGCTGCAAAATCCAGTTCTTCCAAAAGCCACTTTATTTAGGGTTTATTCACAAATCTTAACCATTTTGATATAGTGTTTGTTTTCTAATGTTTATTAACCACCTTATACCAAATGTCTTGCAAAGAAATGTTATTAAAACCTTGAATTTTTACAAATGTGAAAAACAAGTGTATTAATGTATTTGTTCAGGAAAAGCTACATACCGAAGGGCTTTTGTATATGAATTCTGTGGTAGGGAGACCCATTTGTAATCTATATGGCAGTTCCATCTAGGTTTTAAGTTTAGATTTCACCGTGTCTTAGTGCTTCATTCTATTGGTTTACTGGAACATGTAATAAATAGGAGTAGTGATGTATTAAAACACAAGTATTCATTAATGTTTTATATTATCTTCACTAAAATTCTATAATTATGAAACTGTATTTCATCAATCAAGGTGTTATATTTCAATCAGAAGTGAACATTTATGAAGATTATTTGGAAGTGTGTACAGAAATAAACTAGACTTACAAGTAGGCTAGATCAGAAAGTTAACATATGAACCTGCAGAGATCTTGTAAGACTTAAATTCAGTGTGAGGAACAACTCTAGTTCTCTCCTATGAGGATTTCCTAAAAGCCATCTGATTTGGCATTCTTACTGGAGCTGTAGACAGAAATCTACAAAGACAAAAGTGAACAAAATTAAGTTACTATTCCACTGTTAGGAATGGAAATAAACTTGTGAAGTCTGTTTATTTTGAAGTGTTGGTGAACTAGGCGCTTGCTAATTGATAACTGCAGCATAGTTTGTGTTTACTCCAGTTCATCAACTTGGGTCATTTGAAAGATATAAGAGCTTAAGGCAAGGAAGAAATAACATGAAATTCTATTTCAAGGACAACAGAACATTCTTGGAAAAGCAGCTCCAGTTGGCTTTTCAACTGTGTCAAACTTGAATTTGTAAGTCCCCACAGAGCATGGACAGTCGGTGCAGAGTTCCAAGGAAACAATTATTGCCAATGATCACTTCCATTTTGTATACACTGTTTGGTTCATATAGGCCATATTCCAACTGGCTTTTTAGTAATAGAAGTCCAGTATATAATGTATCAAATACAATTGAGGTTCTAACCTAGTGTGTTAATTTATCTGAATTTGGATTTTTTAAAAGTAATAAAAGGTTAAATGTACTTCCCTTGGATTCCTTATTTCTTTCCTTTTTGAAACATGAACGAAGCATAAGGGATAACCCATTATTGACAGACAAATGAAGAACTTAATTATAGTTGTCCACAATTAAATAAAGCAGAGGTCTGCAGACTTTCTGTGAAGGTCTAGATAGTAAATACTTCAGACTTTGAGGGCCATCCAGTCTCTGTTGAAACTATCATTGTAGCACCAAAGCAGCCATGGTAGGCTATATAAACTAATGAGCATGGCTGTGTTCCAGTATAACTTCACAAAAACAGCCTGCAGGCCATAGTCCGCTAACCCCTAGAATGATGTATTTAAAAAGGTTTGAATTTATATTTTGAAAAAGGACTTTAATGTACCATAAAGTTGAGAGAATGGTCCAATGAGTAAGATTGTCTTTCTTAGGAATGATTTTTCTTTTATTGCCATTCTTTTGACTTTTTTGGATACCTATTTTGTATACTCAGACTTTACCATCTATTTGCCTGCCATCCTCTGATTGATGATACTTTGCATTTGTTTAGCATTTACTACTTTTTCAAAGCAGTTTCACATGTTCCCTCACAACCGTCCTGTGAAGCTGGTAGAGTAAATAGCCGTGTTTTGTGGATAAACCAGAGCAGCTAAAGGTGCTCCTATGTTTAGCCCAGAAGTAATCAAGATTCAGGGCCCTGTTGTCTTGACTACTGTAACTGTAAAATGGGAGTGTCACCCTCTGTAGCCTGGAAGGCAGATAATATATGCAGAAGTTACGTTGAAAATTAGTGTTCTATACAAATGGAAGAGATTATTTTTATTGTGCCACATTGAAATCAGTGGTTAATTTCTCCATGTGTATTTGTACGTTTTGTTTTTCCATTTCTGACTAGTTTTTAAAAATCCTGACCAGCCTCCTTGGTTCTTCTAGTTTTATTAGCCGCCTCAGTCAGCACCTGTACTTGGCAATTCTCATTAGCCAAATGGTACAAATTTGGATTACTTTTGATTTCTTTAATGAACACTTTTTGTCTGGTTGGAAAACTAAGGACAGAAGGGACTCTTATGCAACCAGCTTCTTGATTTCAAGTGAACTATTTTTGTGAAACTGTTACTGTGCAATGTAACAGAAAGGGTGGGGGGGGGGATAAGCCTAATTGGGACATGTGGAATCAGTGTAGTTTACAAATGTATTTTAAATTACTTGATTATTTAAAATGATTTTCAAAGTTTGCATGATTACTTTCACAGCCATTTCGAAGGGAAAAAATGCAGGAGATGGTTGCAGGGGAAAATTGATATAAGTGGGGCTGGCCAATGTTATGGTTATTCTTATTGTCTCAGTCTAAGCCACTAGGATTACAGGACTTCATCTTGAAGATCAGTGAAGAAAAGGGAGAGTCTAGAGAGTGAGACGTGGAAGGTGATTCTAAGTTGGAGTTGGTCAGAGAGGTCTGCTGCAATTATAGACCAGAAAGGTAGGGCAGTCCTGGGTAGGTAAGTGTCACAGATAGGGTAGCTGCGATGCTGGCATGAGGATGTGGGATATGTGGTTATCAAGGTGTCCCAGGCAGACATGGAGGGTGTGAAGCAGCAAGGCCATGTTAGGATGACTGCAGGGTGTTTAATGCCAGAAAACTGGAATGTGGGAGTTGTAAGGAGCCAAGACTGGAAAGGTAAAAGGAAGGCTTGGTAGTAGATGGAGGACCTCGTATGCCACCCTGAGGAGCTTGGATAAAGGTTTTGGAGAGCCAGGAAGGGTTTTAAGCAGCTGCTAAATTACATTCTCCAAAAAACTCAGTATCTTCTCAGTGGTCAGCAATGTAAATGAAGAAATGAGCTGGCATGATGAGACTGCCCTCTATTTTGGAGGTTCTGCTGCCTGCACTGGAACAAATTACCATGTATAGTGGCCTGGAAAGGCAAAATGAGAAAGTGGCCCAGGTGGATAAAACTCAGTGGATTTGAAGGGGCAAGGAACCCAGTTACTTTGGGCATAGGGGTATAGATGGAATGAGTTGGGTGGGAGATGGACATCTGAGAGGAGAAAAACACTTGTTCAGGTTCACAGAGGACCCAAAGATACGGCAGAGGAAACCCTGAAGTAATTATGAACGTAATAATGGAGCTAAGTTGAGCAGTTTTATGTCATAAAGCCTGTTATTCTAAATCTACCTCCAGTTTTTTCTTGGTTTTAAATAAAAAAATACATTTAAAAAAAATCATCTAACCCAGATTAGAGTTTAGCTTTTATAGTTCTATCTTATGGTGTCCCTTTTCAATCATTCCTTTCTAATCTTTCTAGTGAACCAAATATTTTGTTGCCATTTATTGGTTGATAGCCAAAGTAGCAACTAAACTGGCCTTCTACTTTAATAACATAAAACTGCAGCTTGCTCATTCTTCGACACCACTTTCTTCAAAATATTTGGACAAAGGGTGTTGGTGAGAAGACCTGGCCACTACTCACCAGGTGGGAATTGGAGGTCATAAAAGCTCACAACCTCATTGCTTGCACAAGAGGTGGCCTCTCTTGTCTATTTTCCAGAGGAATTCCCTTCTAATGAGGAAGCCAGTTGGTGGTTTGCCTAGTGCCATCTGGAGACCTGGAAGTGTCACAGAAGTTTGTTAGGCCTTTTAGATGTTGACTCTTTGGACTTGTCTACCCAAAGGTGGTGACCTTCATAGGGGTGAATGCAGAGAGCTATGGCGTTGGGTTTGACTCCTTCTGGTATTCAGGCAGAAATGCATGCCATTCGACCCCCTCCCACTCCTTTGCCTATGCAGTGGCCACTTGGCCTTCTCTGCCATTTGGTGGCATTTATCCCCTTCAAATTCCTTCCTCCCACCTGCCAGTTTCTAACCAGATCTTACCCTGTCTGGCTCCATTCTGTATGTTATGTGCCCATTTGATGAAAACAGCATGAGGCAGGGTCAACATTGCATTTCTAAGAACGAGGACAAAATATGAGTAGCATCCTTCCAGTAGTTAACTTTTAACCCTTTACTTGTGTGAAGGACTTGTTATCCTAGTTGATAGATGAGAAGACAGATGACCATAAGTGCAAGAAATTCAGAGTTTGATGTGAAGCCCAGCTCTGGGCTCCCTGTTGACTATTTTGTCATTGATGTATGTGAAACCATGTGGAAATCCAAAAGGAAAGTTGTCCATTTTTCTGCTTGCAGTTTAAATTGGAAAAAGATTCTACTGGGCATGATGCAAAACATGTCTACACGTACACATTTGTGTGTTATACTTGACAATGCCATTTTACTTGTGTAAAAAGATCTTTGAAAAGCCTCACAGTAATACTTTTTATATCTCTAAATCAAAATGGCTCAGTTCTGACAGTTTTTACATTTAAGGTACAAAATAGAAGTGGGTTTCAAATATCTCTTGATTAGTCTCCTATATTATTTGGGCATATGTTTTTAATTGGCAAGAAAAAAAAAAGACTTCAGAAATTGGTCATTTTTATTCCATCAAGTGAACAGTGAGTGGTTTATTTAATAAAAACATGTCTGTAATTTAACACAAATAGCACATACAGCTGTTCATTTGTGTCTTTTTGACTGTATGAAGCATCTTAGACTGTTTTACTGAAAGATAAGGTCACCGAGAGGGGAAATCTGTGGACTTAAATCTTTCTTCCTACCTATCGCCAGCCTCTAGGTTAGGTTAGGTGGGTGCCGCCAGCAAGCGCCCTTCATGGCTGGACTGGGGGATATGGAGAGAGCTGAGAGAATCGAAAACCTCGATTTTTTTTTTCTTTGGTGAAAGGGACCTCAGAGACATTCACTCATCCCTGCAGAGAAGCAGCTGCCCGAATGCACATAGCCTGTTGGTAGTGACATGAATTGTGTACACAGGGCTCCTGGTCCAGCGCTCGGAGTTCTAACCACTGTTGCTGCCTCTGGCCACGTGTGCATCGGGGAGTTGTAAAGTGAGTTATGGAAATAAAACAAGGCGGGAAGCCGAGCTTCGATCTTCAGAAACAGCATTCTTGGGAGCCAGAGGCCGAGGTGGCGCCCTAGGCAGGCGCCTTCGGCTGGGTGGGCGCGGAGCTGGCCCCCGGCCCTTGGCTTCAGCATCTTCACCTAGCTCGCCTTCCTCCGAAGTTGCGGAGGTGCCGGGAAGAGGAGGAGCCTCGCCTCGGGCGCCCGAGTGATTGGCTGCCCAGGGCCCCTGGCGAAGGCTGTGTCGTCCAGCCCTGGTGGAGAGGGGCGGAGCGGCCACTGCTCCAACCACCGCCGCCACTGCCACAGTCGCAACCGCTGCAGCCTCGGTCGCCGGGCAAGTAGCTCCGAGCGGCTGCTTCCCGGTTGCCTCGACGAAGACAGGGGGCGCCGCGCTCCACTTGCTCCGCGCCCGAGCCATGCCCGGCAGCCCTGTGTAACCACCGAGTCCCGGCCGCAGCCGACCGACCTAGTGTGCACCGTCCTTCGGCCGAGCTGAGCTTTCGTGCGCGCAACTCCCTCTGCCCCCGCCGGCCCCGCGCCACCATGCCCCGGGCAACTGCACTTGGAGCCCTAGTGTCACTGCTGCTGCTGCTGCCGCTGCCTCGCGGCGCCGGGGGACTCGGGGAACGCCCGGACGCCACCGCAGACTACTCGGCGCTGGACGGCGAGGAGGGCACGGAGCAGCGGCTGGAGCATTACCACGACCCTTGCAAAGCCGGTAGGTGCCGCCGCCGCCGCCGGGGAAGTCCCGCAGAAGTTTGCCTTTGAAATGCAAATGAGGTGGTGGGCAAGCCTGCGCTACCGTCTGTGGGGCGGGTCTCCTCTCCCCTCCCCTGAGATCCCTGGCTCCCCGGGAAGACAATGCCTGCGAGGAATTGCTTAAAAACCACTCCAAGGCTGGGACGTCCCGGCCCCAGGTTTGCGGTGCGCACCGGGGAGTCGGCAGCCGGCGCGTTCCCAAAGCTAATCAGGGCGGGTGCCCGAGGCCGAGAGGGCGCTCAGGGGCCAGGGCGGGTGCCAGGGCCGCCTGGCAGCGAGTGGGCAGCACTGGCCACCGCCGGACACTCCGGGCCTTAGCAGAAGAGCCGGGCTGGGCGCGGCGCTCCCAGGCTCAGATGGAGTTCCTGGCTCCGATTTCACAGCATTTGTAAGTTTCGCACAAAGTTTCCTAAGATCAGTGGTTACTCTTGTGAAGAGATTTTAAAAAGAAAAGCGTCACAGCGGGCAAAAGGAAAGGGGTCGCCGAGGAAGAATGAGCAAAACTTCCCTGTAGCGGTCCCGGCCTGAGGGTCGCCCTGGGCGGGTGGAGATGGAAGCCGGCAGGTGCTCTAATCCCGCCAGGAAGCGGCGCCCGAGACGTACGGGCCTTTCGGGCGCAGTCGCCGCCCGGGTGCTGCAGCTCCCGCTTCCCCGGGGCCACCGACTGGCTCGTGAGTCCCGCGGGGAGCGGTTTCCGAGCTGGAGTCGTGGAAGCCTTAGCCTCCGAAGGGCCCCGAGCGCATGTTCCAGCAAGCTGAGTGTGGGGCAATTGCAGCACTGACAGAGGGGTGCTCACGCTCCCAGGGAGAGGCTGGGCTCAGAGGCTCGCACAGACGCTCCTGGCCCGTGGCCAGTGGTCCGCGGGTAGTGGTGTTTATCTTTGGCTTTGTGCGGCTCCGTTTCCCTTGGCGGTCGGCAGAGAAGAATGGGGAGGGAAGAGTGCGACCTCCACCCTCGGAGGGGCAGGTGCTCCTTCCCGGGGCTGTGGCTGGCCAGGTCTATGCGGGGCCTGTGGGCCGGTGATCGCCCCTTCAAGCCCTGGAAACCTCTATCAGTTTCAGGTTCCTCATCTCTAAACTGGTGGCAGTAATTATAGGAGGACTCAGGTGATTTATGGGGAAATTCTCTGCAAGTGAAATGATGGCATTGTCGTTATTTTTTATTGTTACTATCACTGCAGTGGCTCGGGTCTAGGCTGGGGGTTGGGAGAGTCAGGACTGGGTAAAGTTTGGGGAAGACCAGGTTACTAGGAGGCAGGAGGAGTTTGTGAGACTTGAGAATCTTGTGAAGGTTTAAGATCAAACTAGTCTTGAGGGGCCTGATCTTAGTAAGGGAAGTTTCCTACAGAATATCCACCTACTGCTGTACCTCATGGGGCTTCTGAGTTAGGAAGGTGGGCAGAGGAGTTGGTTCCTGGACAACTGGAGAAAACCTCAGCAGGTAGCATGCCTGGCCCAGGTACCATGAGTTCCTCATGGGACCTAATTCAAGGCCAGGGAGAAGAGGCTCCAGAGCACTGTTGGAATGGCAGCCTGGGCCTGAAAAGAGGGCCACTGAAGCTGGGAAAATAGATGCGGGATAAAGGGAGTGGCTGGACCACGTCCCACACTTGTCAGACCCTAGACCCTGCTGGGTGTGAGCTGGGGCCTCTGGGAGGCAGTGTGGGCAGCTGGAGTGGGGAAGTGATTGATTTGCTCAGGCATGTATTGTGCATCTCCAGTATGCTGGGTGCTGGTCTGGACACTGTGAATCCAGATGTAAAAGAGACATCCCAGCTCCTGGTCTCAGCCTTGGAGGATAACCCTGAGGCAGGCTTGCCTGTTACAGCCTCATTTTCCCCAGTAATTTTGGAGAAAATACAAGATAACCAGGGGCATGCATATTCTGTGATTCTTCACAGACAGGGTGGGATGTGCAGGTAGGGCTGGAAGGCAGAGAATCTGGCCAGTGTAGCTTCAGCCAACTTCAGGCACCCTCCTCAGACTCCTTGAAATCTCCCAACCCATTGGCCTCCCTCTGAGCTACATTGATGTTAAGAGTGGCCAGAAGGGGGCGATAATAAGGACAATCTGGGGGGAAAGGTAACATCTCAGTCAGCCCATCCTCTCAGAAGTTGCCTGACCTGGAGAACAGCTAGGTCTGGAAGGCCAGCAAGCAGTTCATCAGTGTACTGAAGTTTCAGAGAAAGGACTTGCCTCTTGGCTAGGGGGACACTGCACTTCTTGGTTGCATATTTAATGCAAACCTTTAGGGGCAGCCTCCCATTCTATCTCAGTGAAATCCTAACTCCCTGACTCTTCTGGCCAGAAGCTCTCCTTTTAGGACCTGACTCAGGGCTGCAAAACTAAAACACCTCCCACTCTCCCTTCTTGGTGTGGGTCTCCATCCTACTGTGGACTCAGAATGCAGAGGGGAGGATCTTGAATCTGTTCCTGACTTCTCAGGAGCTGTGTTACCTGGACGATTCCCCTCCTCTCTGGGCCCCAGTTCCTTACCTGCAGAATGAAAATGTCTGCCTTGTTAGAATTGCAAAGTGACACGTCCAGAGAGCTTGTGCTCTTGGTCCACATCAACCGTCTTGCTGTGGGCCTGCTTCATACCTTGCAGGCACTTCAGTGTGAGCCCACTGGCTGCTTCCTATCCAGTGTTCTATTAGTCTATGATCTTTGGTTCTAGCCCAACCTCTCAGAAGCTGAGCAAACTGGTAATTTTACCATTTCTAATTTTATCATTTCACTACTTTTGCAATTTTTTAATACCATTTTTACCATTTACTCTGCCACTTACAAGCTATGTATCCTTGGGTAAATCACTTCATTTCCCTGGGCATTAGCTTCCTCATTTGTAAATGGGGATGATTCCTGATAAAGTACTTAGAACAGTGGTGAAATACAGTTAGATACTTTTTATAAACGGATTTTCTAGAAACTGATGGAAAGAATATATTCATGCTGACCTTAAGGCAGGTTTTAAGATGGAAAATTTAAATTTACTAATAGACAATCTATTTGATGCTGTAAAAGGGATGACTTTTAAATCAAATGACTGGGGAGTGGGAGTTAGTCTATGAAGCCCTGCTGGCCTGGGGCTGGTGAGGGGCCTGGGGCTTCTGGGGGATATTCTCTGTCTGGTCATCCATAGCTCTGTCAATTGTTTTTCTTCCGATACTGTTAATAGAGCTAAGGGTTCAACTGGCAGTAAATCACGAGGCATTCTTCCAACCGCCATGCCTCTGAGAGCGAAGCTTGGGAGGACTGTTCCTGCCTGCCTGCCCTCACCCACAAGTTTTAAGCTGATTTCAAGTCAGAAGGCCTAGGTTCTTATCTTGACCCTGCCCCCCTTACTCACTGTGTGGCCTTGAGCAAGTCATTTTTACCTTTCCATGTCTCAGTCTCCTCATCTACCAAATGGGAGTGGGAGCAAAAATGCTTGCTTTGCAGGGTAGACAAAAGGCCAGTTTTAGTTGGATTCGTCAGAAAGAAGAGCCTTAGACAAGGACTTTGGTGTAGATAGTTCGTGTGGAAGGTGATCCCAGGAAGCAGGGTTGAGGGAGCAGGAATGAGACAGGGAGGAAGGAAATCCAATGAAGGGAGTGGAATCAAGGGAGCTGCTTTAGGCAATGGGCCCCTGACCCTACTGGGAGCTCCTTTGAGGAGCTTACAGAATGCCTCCCAAATTATCTGCCCAGAGAATAGGAGGCTGCAGCATTTATCCAAAGGCTGCTGCCCTTCACTGCCTGCTCCTTGCTCTAGTTTCTATTCCCGTGTAAGAAAGCATTCCAGACCAGTGGGGTAGAACAACCTCTGTTTTATTATGTTCATGATTCTGTTGATTAGGAATTTAGAAAAGACAGCAGGGGAGGCTTGTCTTTGTTCCATGATGGCTGAGCCTCAGCTAGGAAGACTTACAAGCTGGGGTGACTCAACAAGTGGGTTCTGAAGTTATCTGAAGGCTCATTCACTCACATTTCTGGCTGTTGAGGCCGTCTGTTGCCTGGGACCAGTTGGCCAGAATTCTTACAGGTGGCTTCTCCATGTGGTCTATGTGGGCTTCCTCGAAGCATGGCAGCTGGATTCTAAGTGCAAGCATCCCAAGAGAACCAAATGGAAGCTGTGTTACCTTTGATGGCTTTGCCTCAGAGTCACACATTGTCATTTCCACCATGGCCACAAGCCCTCCCAGGTTCAAGGTGGGAGAGCATAGACCCACCTCTCCCATGGGAGGCATGTCAATATCACATTGTTAAAAGCGCACATGAAATGAGAGATGTGGTTGCAGCCAGTTTTGGAAAAGATGACTTGCCACATTCCCCGAGGCATGAACTTCCCCGAATATCCAGGAATAGAGGGCTCTACAGATTTAGAAAAATTTCTAGAGCAGAAAGGTGGGGAGACATGCGGCAGAAGTATGGAACTGCCCAGAGGTGAGCTGAGGGTATGCGACTCAAAAATTGTCTACATGAGGCTCAAATGATACGAAAATGCTGCACAGCCTTTTGGGTTTATTAAATCTAAGGGAACTGCCTGATAGCCAGCTTCACTTTTCAGCAGATGGCTTGGTAAATACCAGGGCCTTATTCACCGCTCTGGGTCCCGTGTTAGGATAGGATAAATATAGCTGGTGGTCCCTCGTGTCTTATGGCTCAGGAACCAGTAGCCCACACTTTCAGACTTCTGCCTGGAATTTGGTGTTTCACCTCACTCTGCCATTCTCTCCAAGACATCTTAGCAATCAAGTTTCATTTGGGAGCTCACCAAGAGCCCTCTCTGGGGCAGCTATTGCCAGCAGCCCTCATGTTACTGTCAGCCTAGAAACTGAAGCAGCCCTGGGCCAGTGTGCTGGGGACTCCTAAAAGTGCCCAGAGTGGCACTGGGAAGATTGTAGAGTCATGGGCAGTGCTCCTCTGGAGTTGCCAACCTTCATGGCAGAGCAGGCATCCTGGTTTTTAAGCAGAGATGA